AAAAAAGGAGTGGAGGGCCAGGGGCAAGAGAACAGGGGTGAGGGGAAATGTCTTGATTCCTTACCACCTGAAATGTATTAATTTTTTTAAAAAGAAGAGGCTCAGTAGCTGAGTGGAGGATTAAACTTTGAGCCCAAAGAGATGTAGAAAGGGCAACTTGGGATGTGTTATTTTCCTAACATTTTGGCTGGGCAGCTGTTAGCCCCAGCCTCCACATAGACTGACCTTCTCCCTGTACCTGTGTATGCTGGTACTTTATCCACCAAGTTAGACCTCTGGGACAGAGGCCCAGTAAGAACCATGATAAGCAGTTTGGATTTTCTTCCCTGATGTCCCAATCCTGTAATGACTCAGCTTGTCACCTCTTAGCGTCCTTTGCTTAGATGTAGCCTCTGCCTTAGCCTTCAGCCAGAATTACTGATTAATTAGAATGGGGCTGACCTGAGGATGATGGAGACTTGGGAGAAGCAGTTGAGTTTGGGGAACGAATCTGGATTCTTAGGAATGTTTCAGTGCCTTTCTTGAAGAGTATAATTCTCTGGGTGGGGAAGCAGGAGAGCCCAACCACTGGCCAGAGAAGAGGGATTGATGGAGATCAGGCAGCCTAGCCCTTATGTGAATCCCAGGATGCCATCTGGATGCTCATATCCAGTTTCAGCTGCGCTGAGCTGTGAGACCGAATCCCTCATTCTCCTGCAAAGCTTTAAACAAGTATGAGGACTTCTCCACTCCGAGCAAAGCCTGTGGGCTTTGATGCTGAGGTGTCAAGTTTGGACCCACATCTCTGGTTTGGCTGTTGTGTGCTCTGTTTGAACCATTATACTGTGAAAGGTGGAACAGTGGGGGCTCCTGTTTAGAAAACAAAACCATCTCTTAAGGTTTGTGCTGAAACACTAGCAGACTAAGGGGTAGTAGCTTGCTTTCCGACAACCTGGTTAAAGTGAACATTTTAAACACATTTTGGATGGTGTCTTCTTTTAAATGTGATATAGTAAATGTTTACTAATTTTTTTTAGTGACTAAGGTTTCTGCCTTAAACCAGATACAACTGCATGTGTGTGCTTGTCTTTGCTACAAGATTGCAAGTATTGTAAATATATATACATTTTTTTTTAGGCAAATGAGGCTTTTGGATTTTCTTTGTAATTGGTTTTCTGCATTTTCAGTGGTTGCTATTTAAAAGGAAAAATGTGTGCTATATTCTGAACTTTGTGGTTTCTAGAAAATGATAAAAATCATTTTAAATAATGCTTATTTGCAGATGATTTAAACTGAAGTTCGAGAATTAAACGCTTACTAACTTTTGTTGAAAATGGCTAAAGTAAAGTTTCTTAACTTTTGTCATTGTTTCTTATTTATTCTGTAAGAATCACCCTATTTGAAAAGGGTTGAATGCTAGAAACACTGTGATAAAAAAGATTATAGTCATAGGATTAGAAATTTAGAGTGGGAAGGAACCTCAGACATCTAGTCCCCTGCAACAGAACCTTGCTGACTGCACTCTTAGAAAACCATAAATTAACATTATCTAGGTTGTATTGTATTTTTATTTGATAAAACATTTCCCAGTTACATTTTAATCTGAATCAGCCCCACTGAGTTTTTCAGGCTGATATTTTGACACTTCTGATCTGGTCCTATCCCTTCCTCAATGATAGATGGGGCGGGGGGGGGGAAGCGGTGGCCCAGAGAGGGTGAGTAACCCAAGTCCTTGAGTCTACATCCAGCATTCTTTCTACTGTACCAGGCAAAGAGTTTGTCATCAGCAGACATTTATCAGTGCAACTAGATTATTGGACATACTAGAGCAAGACAAATTGTGTGTCTGTTAGCTAGACTGGCTATACTCAGAGAATCATCACCAAACATTGGCCACCAGGTAAAGAACCTTTGGGTTTCAGCAGTTCCTAGAGATTGCCAGCTAAGGCACGGAATGGTTTATTAACCTTGGTAGATGGAATGAGCACAGATTAAATCACTGAAGTGCTAATGTGTCATAGGGTGGAAAGAGTGTAGGATTGGAGTCACAGACCCGAGTTCAAATTCCATTCTGTCTCTTCTAATTCACCTCGGGCATGTTGTTTAATCTGTAGGCTTTCCACATATATATATGTATGTATATATGTATATAAAGGGGGTAGGTGTTGTCCCCATTCTACATCTCTACATCATGGTACTCTTATAATTCAACCTCCTTTACATGGCACATTGCTCTTTGCATGATACCTTTTTAAAATGATATCTTTTTGTGAGGTATGCCTCACTTGCAAAGGAAGCTAAGATATTAAAAACATTAATAGATAAGTTGTCCACATCATCTGACTGTGAATTTGGGCCACTTTCCTGAGCCTCAGTTACCTTGTTTTCCTGAACCTCAGTTACCTTCTCTGGAAAATGAGTATAATAGCTATCAAAGGATTGATGGGAAGACTGAATATAATAAGCACTTTGTAAATTGTAAAGCATTGTGCAAACATAAGGTGGTGGTATTGTTATTGCTTCAGATCCCAGGTTTCTACATTGTCTTTCTCAAGCTCCTCTTCTTATCTGTAACTTTTACTCTCCGCTTTGAAAGGTGCGCACTAGCATTCTGGGTCAAAGGTGTACATTCTCTCATCCCTGATTCTTTTCCCCCAGGGTGACAGGACCTAAAGGAGGAGCGCCACCAACCTTCTTACTTTTTGGATAAAGACACTGAGGCTCAGATCACTTAAAACAATTTGCCATGGTCATACGGGTATTGTATGTTTGATAACCTAGTTACAGTTCAGTGCAGTTGACCTGGATTTTTGAACCCTGTTGGTGTTTGAGGCTGCATACAAAAGATGTATTTCAAATGGAAACACACCTAGAAGCCACTTTGTCCAAGTTCTAGCAAATTCCAAGAGGCTCTTGTGTTTTCCAGGTTTTGTTTGCCCTTCAGGTGCCTACTATGCTTCTAAGATGTTTTTATAGGTTAGGAACTGAGCCTACACATTGCTGCCTATAAATTTCCTGGGTAGAATACATCATAAGGATAATAGACTTAGGGCTGGCAGGGAACTTAGAAGCAGGTCATCTAGATTGTTTCCTTTCACAAATGTGGAAACTGAGGCCCTGAGAGATTAAGTGATTGACCAAAGTCACAGAGGTATTAAGTGTGGGATTTGAATCCAAGGCTCCATGTCTCCAAAGGCAGGGCTGTTCCTATTGCACTCTATCCTTTTCCTACAGAAAGCAAGGAGCTTTAAAATTTACAAATACTTTCCTCAACACTTCAAGGAGGGGAAAAAGTCCACCAGTCAGGTGCTCTCCTTTACATGGTTTGCTTCACCTGGTATAATTTTTCCTAAGGGACTGTGTTGTCTCTTAAAGTTTTTCATGTGCTAGCTTCCTTTGCAAGTGAAAAGCATACTTCACAAAAAGATTGCAAACAGCAATGATCCATGTAAAGGAGGCTGACTGATAGTGTATCATAAAAGTCTGTACATGTGTAGGGGAACACAGTCTGATTCAGTTTCTGTTCAGGTTTGAGGAGCTAGAAATAATTTTGGGTTTTTTTGTATTAAAATGTTTATCTTAGGAGGCAAGTAGTTAAGAGTAGAAAGGTGTTTACTTGGATAATTTGGGAATAAATTAAAGCTTATTTTCATTATGCTTTGCAAAACTCCCCTGACAATAGTTAGAAATGGTTTACCATGCTGGGAAGAGTACTGCACTGAGGAGACCTAATGATGAATCCTGGCAAGGTCTTTTCCAGCTCTAAAATTAAATGACTCTCTGAGTAGAAGATATTATTCTAGAATTCAGTCTAAACCTAGGTCACAAGACCTGTTGCCTAAGCAAAATATAAGGGAAATTTTACTTCCATTTGGTGTTTAACAGTTTGGAAATGAAAGACTAATAAAATCTGACATATAAGCAGGAGTCAAAGGTCACAGTAGAAATAGATGTTGGTCCTGGAAAGCTGCTGGTCAGTCGGTGCTGGCAAGTCCTAAGATAGAGGTGAAGTTTAACTACTGTTTATAAAGTAATAAAAATGGAGAGAAGCAGAGAAAATGACTGCTTTTATAAACCTCTCTAAGGGCTACATTCTTCTTTCAGTTCAACCAAACACCAAATGGGGATGGGAGGTACATTTAGGCTATCTCATCGGTACAGCACAAGCAATCAAATGACTCACTTTGTAATTACCCAGCACACTTGCAAACCTTAACTCCTGAACTCAAGTTAGCTAAGATGAGTAATGTCAAAACAGTGGTGCTTTTGCTAAAAATTGTAAAATTTTATTGATTTTGAAAAGAAATCTTTTTGTACATCATTATGTCATTTGCAGTGTTAAAGAAAACAAAGCCTTTCATTAGTCACATTTTCTGAATGTTACTTACTAATCAGAAATGCCACGTGCACCACTTTGAGTGGGAACAGAGAACATTCGTGAGTCCCACCCCCAATCTTTTCACCAGACCTATGCCTAGGAGTGTGGTAGCAAGTAGCAGCCCTAGTCTAACTTGGGAGAAGGGGCTAGGCAGGGCTTAGTCTTCCCCTCCCTTGTACTTGCTTGCATGCTACGGGCCACATCAGTATTAATTAGTTTTGCCCATGCTGGCACTGGAGAGGAAGCTAATCAATAGGAAATCTAATTGGTACAAAGTCCTGGCAGTAGACTGCAGGTGCTAGTGCTGCTGTTATGGTTACCTAAGGTGTTTTTCTTTTATTAAGATTTTTTTTAAAAAGGGCATTTAAACCATCTCATGGAAAGATCAGTACATTTTTCTTGAAAAATTGTTATTCTCTAGGAGTATGTTAAAATAGGGATGAAGGGGTTTCTGATTTGGTCCCATTTTTCATCAGATTCAAATAAGGAAGTCCTGAAGCAGCTAATTAAAATAAGTGAAACCACAGGTGTTCTCATTTCTTCTAAAGCAAGTATTCAATTCTATGCGAGAGTTTATCAATAGTAGATGGCATTCTTGGCTAATAAATAATAGTAGAAAAGATGAGAAACTTCACATTGCTAACTCGTCAGTTAGGCTTTTTTTTTTGTTACATTTTAAAGTAGCTAGGAGGTAGAAGCATTTCTTAGCCAGCCTAACCAAGAATAACCTGGTTCTTGAAGGCTGGGGAGAATTCTAGAACCGTTTTGTTTTAGGATGTTCAAGAGACCAGCTTGGATTGTGTAAACTGAGGTTCTCATGATGGCAGGCTCCTAGAAGAAGGTTATTCTGGCCTCAGCAAACACTTGCTAGCTAGATGTTTTCCATTCTCTCCCATCAAAGGCAGTGAGTGACAGATGTTATTGTTATACAGCAGGCCAACTATCTGTGCTGTTCAAATAGAAGTCAATTCCAGAGTTTCCAGCAGTGCCGGGGTGAGGGGCAGGTTTTCTACTGGCTGTCATCTGGCCATTTATCTGACTGGTCATATGAAATCAGCTTCACAGAAAGGAATGGGGGATAAGAAGAGGTCCCAGTCATTCAACCTGACTCATGGAGTTTTGGCAAAACAAGGAGCCTTAATTAAACTCCCAAAGTCAGTAGGAGCAGCTTCCGTTTAGCGAGTAGTGGGTTGAAGTTTTGAATTGCACAATTTTTCATGTAAGAAACATTAGCAAACAGTCTCCTGTCCTGTGCTGCTGTTGTGGAGGCCCAATTATGTGCACAACTTTAAATTTGGGAAGGGGTAAAACCGTTCTGTCACAGGAGCCCTACTGGGTCAATTTGTACCTTGTCACCTTTCCTTTTCCATTGTAAAAAGTTCTCCAAAGAGACAAATGTACACCGTGATTGTGCATCTTAGTTTTGCTCTGGAAAATGGGAAAAGACTGTCTTAGATGTTCCTTTGAGTCAACTGTTGCTTTAGGACCCACATATCAGAACTATTCTGTTTCCTCAGTTTTTCCAGATAAAAAGACAAAAGATGGGATCTAACCTTAATTTAGGAGCAGAGATATGCTTCTCTTTCTTTTCTGTCTACTGCTCACAGGAATTCAACACATGCTACAAAGCCCAAGTGAATGTCCAAATTGGAGGTGGGCAGAGGAGGATTTCTTGAGTTTGAAATGGTGATGCATTAGTTTTTTGAGGCTTGTTATCTTCTCTAGTTTTGAGATGACTTTGTTTCTTTCAGCCTTAAGGTCAGGAAGTAAAAGACTATAAGAAAAGCTCCTCACAGATTTTTTGTGTGTCCGCTGGGCTGGTCACTGAATAGCCTACTGTTCGGGAATCTGTGTAGATTTCATAGTCATTTCCACCCTATAAACACAGGAAAAACATAAATAGGTTTGAGTTGTTACCATTACCTCTTTTTAGCATGTGACTGTTGTTACTTTAGAGCCAAAAGTTCCCAGAGAAATCAAAGACTTCGGTCTTAATAGAGATAGGAGAAACACACTGATAATTCATTAATCCTTTAAAAAATAAAAAAGGCCTTTGATGAAACAAAACACAACTTGTATGGTTATTACCTGAGTTGAAAAAAAAAAGATAAAAACCTTTTCTTGGAATATATAATTTTTTATAAAGGAAATCATGTTTATATTTTGTGGACTGGTTTAGTTCCTTTCCTTCTATCCACAAAACTGTGATTAAGTATTAAACAGAAACTTAGAGCTGCAAGGGCCCTTAGAAATTATCTATCTTATCTGATCCCATATATTGCAGAAAAGTCCCAGAGAGGGAAAGTGATTTGCTCCTAAGACCAAAACATTACTTATAATCCATCAATGTAGTAAAAAAAAAATTATACCAAAGTTCTTTTTCTTGGAAAACTGGATGTCACATCACACTCAGAACTCTGAAAAATGTCAGCTAACTTGTAACACAAGTGGCATTTGTGATATTATAAATAGCTGCAGTCAGAAGAAAATCATGGGAGATGCAATAAAAACAAACAGGGAAAAATGAATATATAGGCACATTTGGCATTTTCAAAGGACTGACACTTGAAGGTAAAATTTTATTCAATGTTTTATCACTTGCTTCACAAATTACAGCTAATACTAAAGTTTTTAAGATTCACAAATTTGAAGGGAACTCCTGAGATTACTCATCTAATCCCTGATGAATCACATCACTACATCTCAAGGTGAATAAATTATACAGTGAAGCCTCATTAGAGCTTTCCCATATCTAATTCAGTTTTTCAAAATGGCTGCCAATGGTTTTGTCTGGCTTGTATAAAGAAAAAGATTTATGAACTGAGTTTTATGAATAATTATATTCTTCTAAACACTGTGGAGTATACGCTGATTTCAGATCCCACTTCTGGACAGGAGCCTTTCCAAAAGTTAAATATGAAACATTTTCATAGCAATTTCCCTCCACCTCCACCCCCAAGTACACGAAGGAATGGGTTGGTAGATAAACAGCATCTAAAAGAACAATAAACTGCTGTGCTGTCCATGGAAATTAACATCTGTCAAAGACAAGCTGTTTCTGTAAATAAGTCAGGGACACTTCTGAAGGAGTTCATTAAATGGATTAAAAATCCACCATTTTACCAACATAACTTTTTTCACATGATAGGAACAAAACTCGGGCTGTTTGTGCCTTTTTCAGGACTTCTTTTCCAACATAACTTTATAAGCTGAAAGACTGTACACATATCATCTTACAGTTGTCCTTGGGGTAAAAATATACTTACAGCTTGTATTCACCAGGTAAAGTACCATAGACAGCGAAGGCAATTTTAGGGCTTGGGCATTTGCACGGACCAGTTAGGAAGAGAAAGACTAAGGGAACATAAGAGCTCTGATCATGTTTTTCTTCTATGAAAAACCACTGTTTGTATGTTATGTACCTACACAGACACAGTATTTTAATACATGTGAAAAGCAGGGCAGTTTTATATATGTTCTATGGCATATTCCAGGAGAGGAGAGAGAGACGGAGAGAGAGAGAAAAAAGGGGGCAGGGTTTGAGGAGTGAGGACAGGTAAGATGGACAGTTTCCAAAAGGATGAAACCTGGAGCTGTAAAGAGCAGGATACATCTAACCTGGGATCTGCCTGCCCATTAGCAGCTGCTTCCCTGTATTGGCAGAGGTGGGGTGAAGACACTTTTTGGTAAAAGAAAAAGTTACAAATGTACAAACACACCTTCAAGGAAATTTGAGAGGCTACTGGGGAAAGGCTAATTTCCAGTGGTATGTGAATGTAATTGAATATTATTGTGTCCTAAGAAATGATGAACCATGTCAGAGGATACTTGGGAAGGCCTTTACAAACTTATGCAAAGCAAAATGAGTAGAACAGTTTACTCGGTGATAACAACATAAAGACTTTAGAACTCTGATCACTGCAATGATAAACCTTGAGTCCAACATCACCACCTCCTAATGGAGAAGGGATGAACTTAAAATGAAGAAAGAGACATAGTTTTAGACATAGCTAATGTGGGAATGTGTTTTGCTGGACTAAATAGATATGTATAAAGGGGTTTGTTTTCATTGTTTCGGTTGTTTTAAAATTTGCTCTGGGGGGGAGTTAGTAGGAAGGACAGATTTAACTTAGAAATACTTGCCTCTTCAAAAATGAAAGAAGAAAAAAAAGAATAAGGAGATGAAGAAAAGTAGTTATATTACCCTGTAGTGAATCTAATATATTTGGGCTAGCAATAATCTATCAGTGACACCCAGCTTATTGATATTTAAAAGCCTAGAGTAATTAGCCCTGAGGATAGGGAGAACTCAATATTTGCCATTTGGTGAGGGTTGGGGATATTGAGGAAATGGATTCTTGGACTGTTTTTCTTCATCATTTGCATATACTCTTGATAATCTGAGTAGTAGACTACCATTATTTTGCTGATTATAATGAAAGATGAACTACATATCATTCATTGTGTTCATGAGTAAGAATGTCAAAACTATAAGGGAACTTAAGACACCATCTAGCTCAATATCCTCGTTATGTGGAGGAGGAAATGGATCCTGGGAGAGGAAATGACTTGCCCAAGGTTATTCATTCAACATGAGCATCAAAGTCAGACAGGCTGTTTAGTGGTAGAACTAGAAAGTTACAGATCTTTTGATTCCTATTTCAGCTTTCTAATATATACTAGCTCTCATTTAGCTCACAGTATTGAATAATATTTGTATCTATAGTGCAACAGATGGTTTAGAAGTACATAGATGCTTGGTGATAACTAAGTTGGCAGACTTATTTCAACAAACCTATTATAAGAAAATTTAACAATTCATGCTTTTTTCCCTCCTCACTGCAAAAGACTATGCACAGTGAACCTGGAAAAAGCCTGCTTCTCACTGAATTGGAAGAGCTAGAGCATGTAGAACAGGGTGTTATTATTAATTCCCTGGCAGCTGTTCAATGCCTATTCATCTTACAGTTGTCATGGTACAGTGGAATTACAGTTGTTCTTGGGAAACACTGGAGAAAGTAAATACACCAAGTGCTGGGCAGCTGTTTGCTGACTTGCTAATCTAACTTTTCAATCAGCCACAATATGATTTTTGTTCCACAAACTTGTTTTCAAATAGTAAATATGACTCTCAGTAAACTTTGTCCACAGGAACCTTTGAATGATCCCCCTATTCTGTACCCACCATAAGAGTGTTAAGACTTGGAACAAGAGGATGGGTAGGATTCTTATCTCTGTCATAGTGCCCTTATCTATAAAATATGGACAATACTGTCCCCACCAACTCATAGAACTGTTATATGCAAATCAGATGAGATAAATGTTACAAGGATTTTATGAATTTTGCAAATGTAAACTATTACTGCAGTATCATCCTCTAACTCACTACTATATACCTCTTAAGCCTGTAGGTGATAGGACCTTGTCCAGACTATTTTGTCTTGCTTGGCCTTTTCCTCAGCTGTAAAAGAGTGGGGTGGCTTAGTTAGTTACTAAAGTCCTTTCTAGCTCTAAATCCTAAGATCCTATGTGCTTTTATTGAACAAAGTTCCTACCCAAGGCCAAAGGGCAATTTAGTGGTAGAAATAAGGTTTGGATTCATGAGTAGCTAAATTAGTCACCTGCTCACTGACAGGGCTTAAGTTGTTGTTATCTATATAGTACCAAGAGTTTCTTGGATTGGATATGAATCAGCAAGGCTCAAATTTCAGGTCAGGCCTTCCAGAATAATCTTTATTACTCTTTTAATCTATACCTGCCACTGCCCTTTTTTGGGAGGAGGGAAGAGAGAAAGGATTTTTTAAAAAAGAAAAATGTGTGCAATAAAATCACCTGCAACATTGTATAAGAAAGGCACCACTAATTTTGAAAAATACTTTCAGAAAAAAATTTTTAAAGACTTATTTTTAATGTCAGTTTTTAATGCGTAAGTGATCTTACTCTCTCATTATCTATAAAATGAGGGAATTGAACTAGGTCCCTTCCAGCTCAAAATCCCATGATCCTCTGAAGCTATCATCTCTCTTTGTTTCTTTTTTCTTTTTCTTTTTGAAACTCCTAATGTTAATTTCTGGCAGCAAGGTGGTAAAAGAACACTGGATTTAGAGTCAGAATATTTGGGTTCTACTCCTGTCACTGCTACTTTGCATGTGACACCTTAGGCAAGTACAGAGATACCAGGTGTGTGGGGGGGAATAGGTGAAAGGGAGGCATCCTAGGACTTGGATTTGCTCTTTGATTCACCAAACATTTATTTGGCACCTATGATGAGCAAGACACTATGTGCTCATTACGGGAGCTACAAGTTAAAAATCCTTGGCCTCAATGAACTTGCATTTACCAGGGGCAATGTAACATGTACACAAGTAAGCATAATGATACAAAGTTGCGTATGATTGGCTACCAAGGAGAGAACACTACAAAATGTTCTTGAAAACTGTGGGAGGGAGAGAACACTTTCAGCGGAGGAAGAGGAAATGCTTCACAGAGGAGGAGGTGGTATGTGACAGGAACCTTGAAAAAAAGGAAGAACTCTGAAAGGTGGAGATGAGATAGGAACCTTGTTTAGGCAGGAGGTTATGGTCTATACAAATGCACGGAGATAGGAGATAGTGCACTGAGTTCAGGAAACAGTAGTTCATTTTGAGTGGAATGTAAGGGGTGTGAACAAAAAGAAAATAAATTACGGTTGGAAAGGTAATTTGCCGTCAGATTGCGGAGAGCCTTGAACATTGGTTGATTTTATCCTATAGTTAATATTAAGTCAAAACAGCCTGGTGTGGCCCAGAGACCTCAAATGTGGTCCCCAGAACTACTCAGTGCTGCTGGAACCAGATTAAAATATAACTGGGAAATATTTAACAAAATAAAAATACA